CAAATTAATAATTTTACAACTAATTATATTGTCCTCTAATATTCTTCAAGAACCCTAATTTGAAAAGATTAGAGATTTTATTCTAAAATGCTCAAAATTTTAATCAACAAAGAAATAATTGATGAAGATCATATTACCACTCAAGTTTGATACAAAAATCACCTCCTTTAAAAGTTCGACTTCCAATACCTTTTTCTCCTTCATAATTTGTTTGTTTCTCTCTAAAACCCCAACTTTCACTCTCCTAAATTTCTCATAAGTTCTTAGTTAAGTTTATTTTTCTTTTTTAAGTCTACCCTCACACATTAAATAAATCCTAATTTTGATGAGAAGTTATGAAAAATACAAGAAAATAAAAGATGAAAGCTTATTTTTCTCTTTATAGCCAACAAATGGTTCTTCAAAAGAGAGAGATGATGTTTTTTATTTATTTGCAATTTTGCTCTCACTTATGTCTCCGTGTTATTTTGTGTAATTTACTCAATCCTTGGTACCATTTTAACACTATTAAATGTCTAAATTCATCATTATTTCCCTATTATCTCTTAAAAAAACTTCACTTTAATTATAACATTTTTATTTTATTTTTATTTATTTATTTTCATCAAGGCTTATCACTATTTCATAAAATTCATAAATCTCTAAACCAGAGGGTGGTCTACAAAATATTCTATTCATTTTACACTTATTTAAACTCACTTTAATGTTTTTTTATAAATTCTTAAAATCACAATCAAAGGGTGTACATAAAAAGGCCAAGAAAAAATATAAAAAAAGGTTAAAGAATAGTGTAGTGGTCCAATAACATACTTTGTTTGCAATATAAAAAGAAAAATATGATCCAGCTACTATTACAACAACAACAACAACGTGCTTTTTAGTAGTTGTAAGAAAAATTTAAAGTACTACTAGATACCAACAAGGAGCAAAACCATAAGATAATAAAAATAGTTTGAATAATATTGGAGGCTTAAGATAAAGGTGTAAAGAGAAAGTTTTCAGAAGATACTTCAAGGTGGGTGAAAGCTATTAACAAAGTTAAAAAATCCTTCATTATAAGTTCAACAACAAAAAAATTGTTAAAAATAGTTTTTTCATAAGCCTTTTTTCATAATAAGTCATCTTTCTACATTTGATTGAAATATATTGATGATTAATTGATAAACTTGTTTCTTATAAGAGAGCTATACTTTATGTGCCCAAATTTATCTCATGGGACATTAAAACATCACAGGTAAACCAATATGATCATAGAGAAACTAGCAAGAGTAATCATCAAATATGAGTTATATTAGTATGTAAAAACCCTCGCATAAACATATTATCAAAGGTAATGAGACCTTGATGAGTAATGGAAATTCAAGATGAAAAAAATAAATAAATGGTGGAAATACTAATAAATATGATGTGTAAAGGAGATGATGATCTCCATAAATAAATTTAAAGATATTGTTGAAGTTGAAATGAAAGTTATATATTTTAGTTGAAAAGAGGGTTATCACTTTGCTAAATCGGGGGGCACAAACAATGCCTCTCGATGTTCAAAAATACCTTTATATTGTATTATTGAAAGCGTCAGCATTGATACGACTAAAAGATTGATATCTTTTTTCAAGTATAGAAGTGTCGAAGTAATAAATTACCCGGCAAGACCAAAGTCAAACCACAGGAAGATTATCTATATAAATTATAAATAATAATAATAATAATAATAATAATAATAATAATAATAATAATAATAATAATA